AAACAACTGATTTGTTGGCGTCCACGTTTTGTGGACGGCAACAATAACCAATGTTGCTCCCCTGAAACGAGGGGTCAACAAAATGACACTAGAGGAAAATATTATACATTCATTAATGAATCTGGATTCTATTCCCTTGTATTATCCTCTAAATTGGAATCTGCGAAAAAGTTCAAACACTGGGTAACTTCACAAGTCATCCCATCTATCCGTAAATATGGCCAATATAAACTGTTTGATAGTCCCTGGAATAAGATGATCATGATTGGCAATGAGACTGACCTCCATTATAAAGTAGTGGACCTCATGAGGAGATATTATCCACATACTATATTAGTAGCAGGACTGGGGAAGAATCAGGATACTGAAGGTAAGAGACTGGATTCGTATAAGAAAGGATATATGAGAGGACAGCCTGATCTAATGGTACTCGATTATCACAAAGACTCTAAAGGCCTCTGCATCGAATTCAAATCACCAACTAATAATTATCATGTATCAGAAGCACAAAAGGAGATGAAGAAAAAGTACGTTAATAATAGCTATGCATTTATACTCAGTAATGATTATGATAGAATCTGCATGAATATCCACGATTATATGAAAGGCATCAGAGTACCCTGTAAATATTGCATCAAACATTTCTATGATAATGACACACTAGAAACCCATTACAGAGTCATCCACAGGATTATCTAATTAATTAGTATATGGATGCTGACCAATTATTAGACAACTATAATGAACTCCAAAAGATAGAATTACGAAAAAATCTGAATACATATACCCTCAAAGAGCTCAAAAAAGAAATCATCAAAATGAAAGCAGATAAGTTTGCAGTTACAAAAATGAAAAGACGACAGATAATCGAATTAATTGTACAGTATCATTATCTTTTTCCTCATTTATTGACAAAACAAGGTTCCAAAGGTACCAAACGAAAGGGTAATAAACAAAGACCCAATTTACCGCAACTAACACACCTGCCTAATTATTCAACAAATTCTATGGCGCCATCTAACACACAATTACCACCATTAGCACAGAAACATCTTCAAAATTTGTATAAACTAACCGCAAAAAATTCCAATTAACTGAGCTAATCAACCGGTTATCTAACTGACTGACTATCTGACTATCTAATTTATTCGCTACTTTCTTTCACCCATTGTAGCATTAATTTGATCACCTCAACCGGTATTTTCCGGCGTTCCTGTAATTTGTGTTTAAAACTAGTTATTATTTTGTTCAATTCTGTACATTTTTCTCATTCGTTTATTAATTTTTTCCGCATTATTATCATATAAATATCCAGTTTTTTGATAAATTCTTGTTTTTTCATTCGTTTCCTATTAAGAAGCAATTCATTTGCATAATTATTTAGCTCTTCAGATTTATACTCTGGATCGGACTTATCTGGTTCAATCCGGTTTAATTGATCTTGTCTTTCTCGTTCCTCATAACATTCATCTTTTTTACGCTCTTCTTCCTCCTCTTGATCTAAAATTTCATAAATATCCGATTCTGGTTCCTCAACCGGTTTCAACCGCTTCAATCTCCCAATTAATTCATCATTTTCGTCATCCATAACGCTCCCTTTTTTATCGTTTTGGCGATCTTGCTTGATTTTTTCGATTCGGCTAATTAATTTATCATAATCCTCCTCATCATTTTCTTCCTATTTTTCATCCTTACATCCTGATTCAGTAGACAAACTACCATGTGGCTCAGTAGACAAACTACCATGCGACTCGATAAATTTACTATATTTTTTTATTGTTTTGGCGGTATTTTTAAAGTGGTTGTATAGATTTTCCTCATCTATTCCGCCTTTTTGAATTTGTTTACATAGCTGATTATTGGATTCCACCAAAATATTACAAAGATTAAGAACTGCGTCATTTGCACTCAAACTCATACTATATAGTAGTGCCTTCTTTTTAAGTAGGTTACGTTTTGTCCAATTAATTAGCAAAAAATAACCGGTCTGAACCGGTGCCAAAAATGCTGACATCAGCAAAAATCCCGACATCTGAAAGGTATGTGAATTTTGGAATGTACAGCCATCGTAGTGATAGCCTGGAAGAGTGTTATCAGTTTTTCAAGAATACAATCAGAGAGCTAGCTACTGGTCAGATTTGGAACAGATTTACACCATGTTTATGACCAATTGGTCTCAAGACAGACATTGAGAAAGTCACAACCAGAGAGAAGATTGAGAGATGGCTTAATTTATACCTGTCAGGACAGTCATGTCCAGCTGTAAAAATCGACATGATAGAGGAATAGGGAGTAGGTATGAGTTATGCAATGTGAAACCTTACTCACAAAATAAATTTTGGTGTCAAAACTGAATTGCTCTTCTTGTATGAGTCCAAAGTTCCAAAGATGGCATCATAAAGAAACATCAGCGTGCTGCCGTGAACTGAAAGAGCTCATAAACACTCAATGAGTAAGGTTTTAATGGCAAAATGTCCAAACCAAGACTGTATGTTGTACGTACTTGTGGGTATAATTTCCATGCAAAAGATTTATATACGGTATTGATTCTCATGATTCTGGATAATGGTGGTGGGTAAAGAGAATATCTACATATGTATATCATGATATAGAGTAATAAACACACACTTTCAGAAAGTTTATCCATGTTCTTAAATTTAGGGGTCAAAAAGACCCAATCTTCATTCAGATTGGTCTCCTTTTGGTTTTCATATCATGTACTTTTGAATTTTTTTTTCAAATCAGAGTCCTCATCCTTGAAGTTAGTGCAAAAAAGACAACGTATTCTGCCAAATTTATTTAAAGACAACAATTTATGGAAATAAATGCTATATTTAATTATTCACAAAATATTCAAGATTTAAAAAAGGCCTTTTGCATTTGGGTTGATCAAATGATCAATTTTAGAAAACACTAAAGCAGTCTGCTTTTGAAAAATTTTGTTAGTTGTGTGAGAAAGGCAACTTAATTCCACCCAGGTGTGTTTGAATGGTTTTTCATACAAATCGGAATTGTATGGAAAACAACTCAAGTGTGCCTGGGTAGCAAAAATTGTTTTCCTCGTACAAATCCTTCCAACTTTCGATTGCCCTGGGAATATATAACGGCTGAAAATTTGCCCTTTCAGCTCGTGCTAACAAACTTTTTCAAAAGCAGACTGTTTTTCTGTTATCGAAAGTTGATCATATTATTAACTATTGCAAAGGCCCATTAGTTATTTTCACATCCCAAATTTAAAAAATGTAATAATTAACAATACAGCCTGCTGATACAGCCTTCTCTTCTTGCTGTCGACCACTGACAACATTTTGTGGGAAAGATGTTTACAATGGACAACAATATGACCTAACTGATGAACCGCTCCTGGTGTGGGTTCGGTGAAAGTAGTTATATTTAATATATTCTAATCTTTGAGCTTTTTTATTAATAAATATTTACCAAAAACAAAAAGCCAGAATGAGATCATGTCATATTTGAACACAATGAATCTTGCACAATACAGTCATTTTTGGAAACATTCTTCTTTGAAGAGGCAATTGACTTTCTCCAAGGCTTTTTTTGCGAGAAATAAACTCAACAATTCAATGTAAAGCAAAAGTTGCATAAACTCTCACAAATTTATGAGTATCAAATTAATTAATATTTAAACATCATTTTGAAACCCCCTATGGCAATGAACAATGAGATGAGGCTGTATTCGCAGGCTAGCAATATCAATGATTGGTTAAAATCAATGTACAGTGAAACCTCTATTGAGGCGGGCCCCCAATTAAGCGGACACCCTCTATTAAGCGGACACAAAAGCCGGGTCTCAAAATTAATGTCTTTTATTTTCCTTTTTAACAAACCCCTATTCAGCGGACACCTAAAGGAAATCGTATTTGGCTAATTTCTGTTGTTAAAAACCTCTATTAAGTGAACACCGGACTGAATTGACAATAGTAGCAGTGGATCATGTTCTTGAAATACGATACTGTAGTTGATTAATAAAGATAAAACTATTAATACAATTAGCTGTCAAAAGTTCACCTAAAGGTGTCCTGCTTTAATAATAGAGGTTTCACTGTATATCGTTCTTAGAGTGACTTTACTTAACCTGTGAAATAGGCATAGTAGAATTGCTAAGCACTATTATGCACTATAAATTTCGTTGTATTTCTTTGTTTACTAGTGGCTATTTTGCACTAGTTGTTAGTGTGTGTTTCATGGGCCAAGTAAAATCACTGTAAAAGTTATTTAAAAAATATTTTAAGATAATATGTTAAGATATAAAAGATTGAACATGTCTTTTACATCTATAATAAGTAATGTGATGTTACTTATTATAGATATAAAAGACATTCGTTCCCATCTTCTCCGCAGGTGCTTCTTTGTCATCTTGTGCTGGAACAGACAAAAATATTGCGTATTTGTAAAGGAAAATAAATACATACTTGAATCAAAAGTGATTCCACAAATAGAAGTTAATACTTCACAGTTTTAGAAACATAAAATATAAACCATGAAAATTGATATGTACAAACAGAAATAAAGTAACAGAAACCACAGGTCTAAAAAAAGAGAGCATTTATCTGTTCACATGTTGGGGAGCCAGAACCTTGTAGTACTAATAAATCAACTTGCTTTTAGAATAGTGAATTGTGCATGCCATGCAGCCAAGGCATTTTATATATAGCATCAAGAAAACAGAAGTGTACACATGTGTTTACCAAAGAGATGGAAGTCCTTAATGGAAAGGTAAACTCCCCCAAACACATAATTAATTGTTACACATGTCATGTATTTAATAATTATTATTTTTCACTTAAATATTGCAAATACCTTTTTCCTGTGTTTTTTTTTTGGCCACTTTGGCCGGGGGGTGGCCAGGTTTTGAGATGTTCATCTGCAAGAAATAAAGTAGTTTGGATCATCATAAAAAGTGGTTTGTGTGTTGCTAAATTAGAACACTTACAATATAAAGCTGACTGTACATGTACAGTATCATGTAGCTGAGCTAACCTTCTTGCCGGGTGGGGCAAATTGGGGTCGTATGGCCCTACCCTTCGCACTTGTAGCATTCTGTGAAGAGATGCATATTATAGAATGTTATTAACTTTTAAAATTTGTTAGTAAATTAATAAGCATGGTGTGCTAGTTTTACTGGTTTGAGATATGAAAGCTGTAGTCGAAGTTGGTGTTAAAAAACTTGGCTGTGCCTTTGTTTTTCAACCCACTTCTCAGTGTCTGGATATCGAATGAAACATTGCGTGTCGTTTTTGATATGGCTTCTCAAATGAATAGTACCGAAAATTGTGGGAAAAATTTAAAGATAAATAAAGTTCGCAAAATTTTATGGTAATTCGTATCCAATATCCAAACCACTGTGACGGTTGTCATTTTCTTTGTTTTCGCTTTATTAATTCTTAATGAATTTGAGAAAGTTACTTTAACGTCATGATATTGTCTGTGGAAGATGTCGTCTAATCACCCGCTGCATTTGCAGAAAGCTTCATGTAATGTTCAATATACAGTCACTCTTTTGACATCTGTTTTGTATCCGTGTGGTAAACACTTGGGCAGTTTCAATAGGCAGTTTAGTGGTTGTTTTGACATTTGCTGTCACAGCAAGTAACGGTTACTTGTGTAAAACGTAACTGAAATGTTTTCTGTGTGGAGAATGCTTTTTAGTGGGATCATTTTTGTCCAGACTTGTTTTT